TTATGTGTTGACTGTTTTAAACGATTGTCGTTCTCATATTCTGTATGTGTATGTTTGCCTACTTGTATTAGAATTTTATAAATCCACTCTTATCAGAAAACTAGCCATATCCCAGAAACATCTTGAAACTTGGGTTTACTAACTAATAATAAAAATCTCTTCAAGTTTGCATCATCCGTAACAGTGACGAGCGCCCTCTGTCCCCAGCGTTATTGAGACATTATGTAGTCGCGTGTGTGTTTGTTGATTTTCCGCGATTCCCGAGCCCGGTTCCCAGGCGGCGCGACTAACAAGATATTAAACACGCGTTACACGCCCAACACGCGTGTCGCGGCACGTTCGACACGCTAGGGAGGAAGTCGTAGGTTCCGCGATTATCAGCTGATTTATTGCCAAAACGACAAATTTTTCTTTGGCCTAAGAAATGTGTTTTGGGGTTTTACACATAAAAGTAGAAGTTGGCTTTAAATTTGGAAGACTTCTTGTTATTAATTTTTGAAAGATTGTGTGTTGTTACTGTATTAATGAATAAGTGATACGTATTATGTAAACTAATTTTAGCCACATTCGTTAAACATTACAACAAAATATACGGTAGTGTGTTATTTTAATCATCTTATATCCACCAGGTGCGTTTTATTAACTATTGATACATTGTCCAAGAATATAGTTAGCCTATCTGTGCGTCTCCTTCATCACCTAATACTATGAGTACATTGTTATATTCATGCTCTTTTTGATAATATTTTGTAATTTTAAAAACTTCTGACAGTTTTCAAAGGGTTAAAACGAATGAAACTTCGTTTCTCTGAAAAGTTTCGTAGTGAATCGCTTGTGATTAAATGTAATAAAATATATAATATCTTGTCACACCATTATTTCATGGCTAATAATATATTTTAAAATTGCGTTAACCTCTTTCGTTTCTTGAGTAATTTGACAGTAATTTATCACATTTTACTAAATTACTTGCGACCAGGTCTCTGGAAATTTTTAAAGGGTTCTTGAGTTAAATAAAGTAATTATATTTCATTGTATTCTAGTAACACCCTTAGCAACATTGGAGTGCCCCTGCACGCCAGGTAAATACATATGTTAATACTTTCTTATTAAATGGCGACCATACAAAGTAGGTATTTTAAACCAAGTATGAGAGTAGGAGATGAATTTAGGATGAATGGTGCGATCTTCAGGGACACTTCCATTTTGACAAGTGTATAGTGGTATCTACAGATAATTTCTAGTTTGGCATCCTTCTAAACGTAACAACTAATCTACAACTGCGTAGAAATTACAAGCACAACTATAGAAAGGGAACCATTTTTCATTCTTCGACTAAGTAATTTCCTAAGTTGATTGATAGTCTCCTATAGTCCCTAAAGGGCCTTATGATATTTTTCTGTGACTGGTGATGACTCGTCCAGTCGTCCTTAATTCCCAGACATCGCCTACGTAGGGAACCAACTATGTATATAACAAATTAATTGTATTCTCCACAACCCGTTTGTATTTAATTTTATTTGGGGCGTGCAATACTTTCTGACAATTCTCCAGCAGTTCGATAGACAGTTTACGTAACTATATTAGCTTTTATAAATAACTTATAACACTTTCCCATTTTTTTGTCTAAGACAACAGCTGTAGGATGTATCACTGATATGAACTTCATTGCAGTCTTCACATAGAGTCTAAATGTATTGGTACGCATATCAGACGTTTTCATCCAGGAAAAGAATAATTAATAAACCTGGTTAAAATAATATGAGGATTTTTCATGGAAATGTACCATTACATTTCAAACATTTGGAGTGAACTAGACGATTTTCAAATGTTTGAAGGTGGAAGTTAAGTCACGTTTCGCCACATATTTCGCATAATTAGCTAGTCAATGTGAATTTCAGCCCAGGGCTTAGTGAATTATTACACAATACACGTAAAGACATGTTAGACCGTGATCAGGATAGCTCAAGGGCTAAACCATGCAGTTTAATTGTTTTGTTTAGTTGGTCGTGCATTAATTGTGCCAAAGAGTTCCTTAATTACGCCAATTCCTCAAAGAGTGCTAAATAATGTTCCTTAGTTGTTCCCAAACTAGGTAGGAGTTAGTTGCCGCCAGAAGGAATGTCCTTGTTTACGTGTCATCCTAAACCTATCCTAACCTAATCTAACATATCCTAATATAACCTAGCCTAGCCTAACCTAACCAAACCTACTCAATTACACAGTCTAAGAGGCCCCTACTTGGTGTAGTAGTCCACTAGAAACGTATCGGGTGGCTCCTTGGATTAGTTGGAGCAATTCAGGAATACCCGACTGCCCGTCTGACTCAGGTCAGTTGGTGCAATGTTCAGGTCGCGTAGACGACTTGCGCAGACATTGACAAAGACACATCCTGGATATTTTGCTCTGCGGATGCTAATTTACCCAACCAACCCCAGACATTTCTTTGTAAGCCAATCCACCGCTCGATGTCATGGGAAGAGGAAGCAGGAACTACGGCGCGCGCCGGCTTTGATCGAATGAACCGTTTAATGCAACCATAATAACTTCCGGACCGACGCTAACTCTCTGCCAATGGAGTTTTAAACGGGCTAATACGAGGGGCAGTTTTTAGGCGGCGAGTCACGTGCGGCACGCGCGGCGGCGCTCAAATCCGGCGGGAGAACCTCCGCCTCCCACAGAAAACCCGGGAACTGCCGCTGTCCGCCTTTCTGGTAACCACCTTCTGCGAAGGTTTGATCCATCCATAAGATTACACGGTTCTATTACGTCTACATGTTGTTTGAAAGTATAATTATTAAAAGGCGGTTATAGGTAAGGGTTGTTTGCTTAACAATAAAACAATTATGGGGGAAGTTTCACTGCTAGATCAAAATTTTAACTTTTGAATGCAATCAAAGATGTCAGATCAATTACACGGCTTAACTAGTTATCACTCCTCATTTTCCAAATAGCCATTGTTCGACACATTGTGCGCTTACTAATATTATTATATATTACAGATTATATGGACACAAGGGGACATACTTAAACCCAAGTATGATTTTTGAGAGATCACCAATTTGGCTTTGATTCGATTTCAACGGTTTCTTTAGCTAAGATTGGTCAAGTTTTATCAACAAGCAATTGATTGTTTTCAGCATCGGACCTTCTGAGTAGGTGAACTTGGTAACTCGGCATCCCAGCAATTACATTTTTTAACACAACTTTACTGATAAAACCCTTCGAGTTTATAGGATATTTTGCGTTTTGTAGAGTTTTAGCACTGATTCTCTTAAAGTTAACAATGCAGGAACTATTTATAAAATCTACTACCTAATAAATTCTACACGAATATTCCATTACGTAAAACAATTGTCGCAAATATAACCTGAAATACTCGCAGACAGTACTCGAAAATGTGTGTTTATCGTATTAACTCGTCATCTTTGCTGGAGACTGTATCGTCTGGGACTCACGTCAAAGAAAGCATTATCATTGGTCTTTTACCCTTTATATGGACGTCCAAACATCAATTTAACAAAAAATAGATAGTTGATAAATACTACAATCTTGACGTCAAATATAATAAATACTTAAGGTATTTCACAAGGATTTTAAACTACAGCGTTTATTACCGAAAAGTAACAAACATGTATAAAGGAATACACTTGATGGCGATAATGCTCTACATCATAACCATTTTATTGATTTTTAAAAGAAAAACTTATTATTCTTTACCTTAGTATTACAAGAGTTGTAAACTTGCATGATTTAAAATCCTTACTCTATGCAGTAAAAATAATCTATAGCAATATATTACAGAAGCATGTCTCTGCTGACGTCATTATAAAGGAAACCAAACTCGTCTCCACTTCATTTTGGTTCACCTCAATTTTAGGATTACTAGATAATATTCGGTGTTATATTTAATATACTGGGTGTTTCCGAATTGTCTGGGCATATTTTGTGGACTTGTTCCCTGCGCTAAGACAAACATAAAACACCATATAAGTATGGGTCTAAAGTGCCTAGATTTCTGTCTGTCGGTCTGTTTGTAATTTTTTTAAAATATTTTATATCTTGGGCGTTTTCTAAGATAGAGAATTAAAATTTAGTATATATGTGTAGTTCTAAAAGTAAAAAGGACTATGAAAATTTAATTCCAATATCTCAAGCCGTTTCAATATGGCGGCCATTTAAAATCTTTAATGCCAAATTTCATGAAAACCGTAAATATTAAGAACATTTTGTTTCTCTTTAAAAGGATAGAGAATTTTAATACAAAACAAGTCATTTGATTTGTATTAAAATTATTTATCTTATTTATTTTATCCAATTTATTTTGTATGGCATTACTATAAAAGATTGTTTAAGAAGCTAATTTAAACATCTACTACAAATATGCTCTGAGCTAGGTTGACCTATTTTATAAGTTGAAAAATGGGATTGGAAAATTAAAGCAACATTTTTATAAAAATATTTACTTAGTATCATAATATATACAAAAAGTACAATATTCACATTTACATCTATAATACCCTGATTTATGACTAGATAATACATTAATGATAAAAGGCATTTAAATTCAGATACAATTTTTGTTTGAGTGTTTCTTATAACAAACCCTTTCAAATTATGACTTGAGTACAACGTGTATATTTTAAAGCACATCTATAAAAAATATTTTCTTGTACAAATTCTTCAAAAGTTTCAATATAAGGCAATTCATAAGGCATATTCTTTTGCATGTTTCGTGTTTTCCTTGTTCTTTAAGTTTCATATTAAAATACTATACAACACATTCAAAACCTTAAATAACTTAAGAGGTAAATTTGTAAAGTATTAATTTAAAGTCTTACTTTCAAAAGTAAAAAAATACATTCACATGAAAAATACTAAACAATATAACTAATAATGTAACGATATACAAACCTACGTTATTTAAAAACAGTTTCAGGATTGAGGTACTCGTATACAACCAATATTTAGGAATCAACCTTGACTAGAATTAGGTTTACTTGTTCACCAACCAAAAAGTGTATGCATGTTAAAAAATTGAATTAATAAAATCATATTTAAATTACAATTGATAGCACATTTTCCATACCACATGAAAAATTCCGTATAAAATCAGCCAATTATCAAGAACTCAAATCAACCTCAGCACTGAAACAGCTGTCTTTGATGGGACATTTGGTTGTAGTGGTACCCCTGGAACCCAGGATAGGTGTGAGGCTGGTACTCCTGTTGAGGCAGTTGGTATTCCTGTTTGTGGTCAGGGGAGCACCACTCGCTGACGTCACTCGTGGTGGAGTCCTGGTCGACGGCCCACTCGGGGTACTGCACCTGGGGGTTGGGGAAGCTTGGAGTCTGGTATGGTGCGTAGAGGTTGGTAGACTCCTTGTAAGGGTATTCCATCTTGGGGAATGGAGAAGGAGGATAGGCAGTGTCCCTGTAGGGGGAAGAGAGCGACTGCTTGCTGTAGGGTGATGAAGAAGGGGTGTCAAGACGATTATCTCCGGGGACTTTGCGTTGTTGAGCGATAGCACAACTGCCTGTAGTTGATGTTATCTGGAATAAAAATGGAGTATAAGTTGAGCTTGCCAAGAAAATGTTCGTACCGAATTGCAGATGGCTATAGACGGACATTTGCCCTCATCTAATCGAAACTATTGTATAGTAACAAGCAAAAAGAAAACGGAGAGGTTGGATTTTTCTCAGAGTGGGTTCAGCTAAAGACCAACATGAATTCAAAATGAGATTTTGTTGATCTCGAAGAGGCTTAGAAGCATCCTTGATCAAATTTCTCACAGCTTCAACCATTTGTGCAACCAATCATTAGTAACGTGTCAATTATAAAGTAAAAAATAATATGCCAATTTCTTCAAAATGCAGACCAGAAAGGTTGGTTGAATATAGGGGTACAATTGGGAACCAAGGCACTAATAAATCGCGGTTAATACAGAAAGACTTTGACAGCTTCATTTTGCCTTCCCTAAAGCCTTTAAAAGAGGTGTCAAGAAACACTCTAGCAAAACAGGAACACTGGAACATCCATTCCCATACTATTATAGAGGATCACGTTGAGAAAAAGTGCATGCATTTTGTCTCTCACATATGATATTTTTTTGACTTGGTTCCTATCCATTTTTCAACCATCTCCTTTAAGCTTTGTATACTTTTAACGTTAAAATTGTGTACTTGGATTGGTTACGACTTAAGTAGTCTCGTAATTTTTCAGAACAGGCCACAGGCAACATGGTGGATATGATTGTCGTCTTTTTAAGTTTGGGGTTCTGTATCGCCCACTTCTGGAGAAACCAAACATATCCAACGTTCCAGAAGTTGATCATTTTGAAACTTGTCTTGAGAACATTTTCTCACGGGGAGGTAATCAAAGGTAAATCAATACTACCAACCTTGTTGTTGCCGTCGCTGCCGATGCAGACTGTCACGTTGCCCACACTGAGTGTCAGAGGCTCGTCAAGATTGCCACCACCCCCGGCAACACTCAACGTCTGGCTGAGGGCCCAGATGTAGTTATGTGCGAACCTCAGGGTCTCAATCTTGGTCAGCTTCGTATCCTCTGGGAAGGTTGGCAACACGCAGCGTAGTTTGTCCAGGGCCTCGTTCAGTGTGTGCATGCGGTTGCGCTCTCGGTCGTTCGCCTTCTGTCTTCTGTGCTTCTTTATGCGGAGAATCTGTAAACAGTTACATTTGAGTTACACAATGATGCATATTTTGAATGTTAGTGAAGGGTGAAGAAAGTAGTGATGTTCTGTATAGCAGAGAGAGTAAGAGAGTCAATGGTAAGAGGCTAGCTGTATAGGCTATTTACAAGCCAAATCATCAAAACAAGTTGAATTCAGCTTCTAACCATCAAATAGCTATAAGTGTTTATTGGGATAAAACTTTTGGCTTTTATGGTAAACACTTTGTTCACTCAGTTACCCAGTAATTTGAGTAAAGAAAAAAAAACAAATAGGAATGAATATATTTCAAGCGAAAGCCAGGTGGCTGATTTCAAAGATCTTTTTAATGAGTAGATTTAAGGTAGCCTTTTGGACACGGACCTAAGTTCAACCTTTAATAGACGAACAATTTATGGTAAAACAACATGTTATTTCCTAGTGTATGTCTTCGACAATCGTCCTTTTAAGCAAGTCCTACACGAACAGCCGTTATATGATATGTGACCTTTTTTATTTTGGATCTAACATCTAATTCAACTAATCAACTAGTGTATATAACTTTGTTTCTATTTTCTCTAACTTTTTGCTTAAATAGTCTGCAGAGGAGAGGACGACTAAAATTTACTACAGGGTGTTACAATCACTCACTGGAAAATGTCTATAATATTTCGCCACTCATCTCACCTGTGTAGGACTCTTGGACCTGGCACCCCGCCGAGACTTCAGCGTCTTCTTGCTGCCCTCCCCCAGACTCTCTGGGGCGGAGCCGTCAGTCTCGGAGTCCAGGAGGTCGGTTCCATCGGAGTCCGTTCCGGCCACCGCCTCGCTACGCTCTGTCTTTACCATCATCACTGCACCTGGAGACAGAGTAGAGTTGAAGAGGGTTGGAAAGAAAGGGAGAATAAATACTGATAGTGTGTGTCAAAAGAGGAAGTGGGTTGAAAATCGAAGGAAGAAAAATGAACAAAAACCCCCAATAATAGTGGGCGTGTTGATAGTCTGTAGATGTAGCGTCTAGGACTTTTGGGATATAAGGGTTCGTAAAAGTTAGAAGGGGGTTATCCAGCTTTTCCCTAAAAAAGTGTTATGTTTCTCCCATACAAGATACACTAACAACAACAAGTATTTAAAGATTGCCTACTGTCTACTAAAACTGAGGTGAGAAAGTGGTATAAAATATACAAGGACAGTAATTAAAAAGGATTTTCCATTTACCTAATGTTAAAAATACCTCAGCTGTTATTATTTGTTTATATTACCATTACTGTATTCTGTTTTGTTTATTTCAGCTTAACTTAACCATTTAATAGTTTTATTAATACTTATGTAGTAAAACGGGGTAGAGCCCGTGGGTAACAGCTAGTAAATAGTAGGGAGAATTGAAAATGGAAGAAAGCTGTTTAGTAATAAAATCGGTGTAATGTTTTCAACAATAAAAAGGGTAAAACGATAAAACTAATAATATCTCAAAAGAAAAAATCCTGCTAGTGTATCGAACAAGAAATAAAGGTGAGAAAGTTATACGAAACACGGATACTAATGAGTGAAGATAATGGCTTGAAATGTAAAGAGTACAATTCAAAACACTATTCAGAGTATACAAGAAATTCACGACAGGTAAACAAAAATACCATCAATGAAGACGCTGCTGTACAATGAATGATGATATAAAACTAAACGCATTTTGTAATTTGGCAGGAGAAAATATGAGTAGTTTGGAAAAATAGCAGTTTAGTTATCTTCTACATGACAGAAAACATTCCTACATTAAATTAAAAAATATTACTATGTTAACACTTTGTTATAAGAGAGTATGACGGTAAACCTTTTAGTAGTAGAACAATGTTTTGATTAAGATTATCATAACGTATATAAACTATTTATAGCTGCCTGGCCAATCCGCTTCGAAAATCTTTTAACCGCTCAATTTTTTATTTAAAAAGTGTACATGCATTATATTATTTAATGAATGAATAAACAATGTATTCCACATAAAATTTTACATAATAAAAATTTACATTGAATGCTTAACAAAAGTTATAACAAAATAAAAAATATAATAAAGATAAAAATTTCATATTGAGGATAAAAAATTGTACAAAACAACATGCATAAGCGTTTTAAAATGAAAATAGGTTAGATAAAAACGTAAAAATATTATTTCTGGTACATTTTGATTAATTTGCGTTTTACTTCAATGTTTTATATACGCTAATAATTAATTATACGCTTGTATTAAGTTACAATTCATGTATAAGGCAAAGTATGGTTTGTTCGGTCTTAGATCAAGGGAACGGTTTATAAAATTGTTTTTTGTTTCACATTTTTCTTCAACTATGTCTAATTGTACTTAACAAATATGAAAATAACTCATCTGTCGGGTAAAACAAAACAGTTGTTTAGGGGGCTCACTAATGGGCTAATGCGGTAAAGTTTATCACAAGCAAAACAAAGATTAGATACAACCAACGCATTACCTAGTACATTCATTAGATGAGGTGTGTTGTAAATCTAAAATTAATAATCATGATAGGGCCGTATTGTAAACCTATACCAGTGTATTTTATACTAATATGACCTTCATAGTATATCAATTTTATCAATTATTATTTTTATCAATTATCAATATATCATACATTGATATATATATATTAATTGATATATTTATATATAGTGATAACGTGGGGCTGTTGCTATTGTGTTTATAATTTAAAGTCATAATTAATTAAACACTGCTCATTAAAATAGTGCTGAAAATTACAAGTTAATATATTAGATGGATTTAAATATATAAAATTGTATTAGAACCGTAATTAACTTACTAAACTGCTGACAGAAACGTGATATTTAACAATTTATTATAGTACTATATGTTTTAAATTTTTACGGTTAATAAAGGAGTTCGTAATAATTCTTTATTACAACATTACATTACAGTGCGTTAATTTCCAGTTTTCCATACTACTGTTATCTCCGTTGCGCCCGACTTGGACGGAGTATGCAAATACCGCATTACTTAGATGTACCTATATTGCATTTACTCCTTCATTATTTAAAAATAAATATTTAATCTGGAATTGACATGGAAGGAGTGATTTTATATTAATTTATTTTGGTTGTGTTATTATAATACACTGTTCAATATTTATTAAACACTTTTTGGTGGGTAAACAATTTGTTTTTCTCATATAAAGGATTTTTTTTCTTTTCAGAGACCGTTATAGTTTTCGGACAGCGGGTGAACAAGTCAGACTCTAAATTCAGTATTCATAATATTATTCGTGAAATTTTGACTGCCTCACCAAAATTTAAAATGCTAAAAATTGCTAACTGTGTACACAGAGAGTTTAATACTAATGTATATGTGTTTGTGCGTGATGTAATTTAAAAAAAAATTTGACCTCTTACAAATAATAATTATAGTTGGATTGAATTACCAGCCCTAACATTACATACAATTATTGATGCAGTATCTCTTGATTAGAATATTTTGGAGTACTGTATTGGATAGTCATTACTAATCCAAATTTATATTGATGAAATAATATAAGCCACGAGTTTTGTACTATACAATAGTTGAAGGAAAAATCATTTTCAGAGTTTCTTTGTGTACACTTTTATTAATTTTATTTTATGTGGCATATACTACGCTCATAAGGTTTTTTGTTTTTATGTTTGTTGCTATGAGCCATATTGCGTTTCCTATTAACCAATAATTGGTTGATTACTGTAAATAATTGTTCCCTTCAAAATGTGTTATTGCTTCACTATTGTTTGTGAAAACAAAACTTTTAAAACTTTGTTTGTGCATCATTACGGAAGAGTTTTATCAAAAAATAACCGCCCATATTTAAGAGTAGAAACTGAAAAATACCGTAAAATCAATAATACATTTACCAATGTCATAGATTAAATTTGTTTCAATATTTATTTTATTTCACTTTTGTTAAAATCTACTTTTCCTTTATTTATTTTTGCAAGGCAATTCGTAACTTTAAATTTACAGTAATACAAATTTCCAAGAAGAAGTTTGGTACCTACCAATAAGCATGCATATTCGTAAGAAACGAAAAGTTATTCACAACAATAACAAAACAACAAATTAATAATAAATGCTTGGCCAATTGTTATAATAGGATTATTATAATATTAGCAATGAAGATAAGAACACTATTGAACGCATTTTAACTCAAATTATTAATCCACAATAGTGTTGTGTAGATAAGTGTAGAATGTAGTGGTATGCTTTGTGTTTCTTCATTATTGACTAAGATCAGCTGTTTATTTAGCCAAGATCAATTAATTATTAAAAGGCCAGAGATCAATGTCAGCTGGGTTAATTTCGATCCAAAAATAAATGACTCTTCATTGGATCGAACCGGTGACGTTCGGATTCCTAACAGATTTGAAAAAAACATATTTAAGAAATACAAAATTATCTATAGTCAATTAAAAGAAGACTCATTAAATTAAATTTAAAAAAAACTATAAAACTCGATATTAAAAATAATTTTTTTTAGGAAAATCTGAGATAGCCTAATATTTTTAAAACATGACTCACCAAAATATCGCCGACGTAGACTGATAAACTCCACCCTCACTCCACGGGACCCCGAAACAGACTGAGTCACAGATGAGTGGGAGTGTATATTTAGGGGTAGGTGGGGGTGGATCCGCCCCTCTCCCCCACCTCTTGGCAGGTGCTACGTCACTAGAACACACCCCTGGCAATGTATCAAAGTGTGTGTGTGGGGGGGGGGGGGGGTACTTGAGGTAAGCACAATAAAAGTATATAAAATGTATAGTTAAAAATAGAGTTACCAATTCTTTATTATAATCAGCTGTTTTTTACGTTTCGATTAAAATTATGTTAGAGTTGCAAAGGTTAGTTTAAACTACGAACATTAGAACAGAAACTGTATGGATCATAAACATAGACTATGATTATAAACATTAGATTATAAACATAGGCCTACACAAATGACGCCACTGGCCCGAATGCTTTTGTTATATGACTAGTAAGTCATTGGTTAAAACAACTTATGTAACTTATGTAGGCTATATTTAAAAGAACTTTTGCTGAGAGACTGGTTTTTACTTATTGCTTAAATACTGTTTTGTTTTAAGAGGTTATTTTCATTCGTTTTAATTGTTTGATAAATAATGTAAACGAAGTTACTTATTTAACTTATTACTTATTTATATAACTTATAACTTATAACTTATTACTTATTACTTATTTAAACAGTAGTTTCATGTTTAGATTTGTAAAGAGCACAAGCTCATTCTGGTTTTGCATTAAATTCTATATTTTTCCATTTCTGAATTTCAATTCGTCTGTGATATCACAAGCAAGAGCGTACAGTGATGATAATGCCTATACTAAAACCTGGAAAAGTTGGTTTGGCATTTTAATTTTAATAATAATACAAACAAGTTTACTTTTGTGCCAGTGACATAATTTATCTATGTTTATGATTCATACAGTTTCTGTTATAATTTGTTAACAAATAGTAAATTTTAAGATTAAATTTAATATCTTTTTCAGGGCCCAACTTTTAATAAACTAGTTTATTTTGAACATCCCACCACATAAAAATTGGTATGAAAATATTAACGTTTTAGCTAACGTAGATTACAGAAGATTTGTTTTCCAAACACAAAATACAGATGCAATGTCGTGTTTTACCTTCGGTTTCAAAGACAATATATTTTTGAATATGACATTTATTTGACAATGTGATACAATAACTATATTTGTTCTATTTCTTATTTAAATAAGAATTAAAAGATCAAAAGAAACTAAACTGTTTTAATGAAGACACTAATACAAGACAATATTATTAAAGAAAAGTAAATAAAATCATATGGTTAAATATTAATTCAATAACCATAGAGGTTAAACATCTTTCCCTTTGAGTTTCTTTTCAGAGTTTAGTCAGGAAAACGTTTCGTAGGTCTTATAATTCTGCCTCTTGATGATTGTTTTATTGCAGCTTCTTGATTGGGAGTAGTTGATCGTGAAAAAGGTTTACTTTTATCTTGAGTTATTCTAGATGGTGTAGTAGTTGTTCTTTCAGCATTATTTGATAGGGAAGAGTTGTTTTGAGTAACAGTAGTAAATGGCAGAGGATCTGACGTTGTATCTTTGATGGATAAAGGAATAAGATTGTTCGGTTTGGTTGTATTACCTTTGTAAGGCAAAAGGTGGTGTCGATTCCTTCTCAACGTAGTGTTTCCTGTCTTAACCCAGTATGACCTTGGCTCTTGTCCTAAGCTGATAATAATACCCTCTCTTTTTAGGTCTTGGATCCATACTTTTTTACCTACAGGCAGCGATGGAAGTTCTTTTGTAGCGTAGCGCCTATCGTAGTTTCTCTTGTAAGATGCTTTGTAAGTATCTTCTTTTTCCTTTAGTTGAGAGAGATCGGGTTTGATTTCAAGTTTTTTAGGTAAAACAGGCAGGTTATCTCGCAGTGATCTGTTGTATATTAGCTGAGCAGGACTGTATCCACTTGTGGATAGAGGTGTATTGCGGTAGGTTAGGAGGGCTAAATATGGGTCGTCTTTGTTTTTCTTTAGTACACTCTTCGCTATTTTGACTGCAGCTTCAGCTGCACCGTTACTTTGGTGGTAGCTTGGACTGCTCGTCACAAGTTTAAAGTTATAGCTTTGAGCAAACTTTTTGAATTCAGAGTTTTCAAGACCAGTGTATCTGGTAGCAAACTGTGTACCACAATCAGATCGTAGCTCAATTGGTATACCGTGACGGCAGAATACAGATTTGCATTTTTCGATTATTTCAGCAGTTGACAGGTTCTTTAATGTAGCTATTTCAAAATAACGTGAAAAACAGTCAGTGATTACTACGAACCATGTTCCTTCAAGTTTAAAGAGATCAATCGCTGCCTTTTCCCAAGGACGAGATGGAAGCTCACTGGGCAAAAGGGGTTCATGATGTTGTGTTCTATGTTCAGTACATTTGGGACAATCATTAACAAATTTCTCAATGTCAAGTGGCATTCCTGGCCACCACATACTATTGTTGGCTCTAAGTCGACATTTCGTTATGCCTAGATGGCCTGTATGTATTCTTGTCAACATTTCTTGTCTAAGAGTTGTCGGGATTATGAGACGTTCTCCTCTAAGCAATAGTCCGTCACAAAAAGAGATTTCATCCCGAACTGTGAAGTATGGCTTAAGATTATCGGGAATCTTAGTTTTATCAGGCCATTCAGTTGAGCAGTAAGATTTAATTACCCTGAGTTCTGAGCTAGCCCGCTGTGCCGATGCAATTCTATCAAGAACCATGTCAGTTACATAGGCAATGTTTCTTGTTACTGTGTGGATGGCCAGTTCAACTTCCTCATCTAAATCATAACTCTCATTAGCTGCTACAGGACTTCTTGAGAGACAATCAGCAGTGGCTAAATGTTTGCCAGGAGTGTATGTCACATTGTAGGAATATCTCATCAGACGAAGTCTTAGTCTTTGAAGACGGGGAGTCATATCATTGATCTCTTTAGTAGTCAAAATACTTACCAAAGGTTTGTGATCTGTTTCTAGCGTGATGTGCTTGCCCACAATGTAGTCTTTAAACTTGTCACAGCTCCATGTTAATGATAGAGCTTCTCGTTCAATGTTAGAGTAGTTTCGTTCGGTTTCGCTCAGAGTGCGTGAAATATAAGAAATAGGCTTCCAATTCCCATCTGATTGTTGTTGTAAAAGTACTCCACCCAGGCCTTGTGTAGAAGAGTCAGCAGAAATCATAGTCGGTTTATTTTTATCATAGAATGCAAGTTGAGGTGGAGAAGCCAATAATTCTTTCAATTCATCGAATGCTTTTTGTTGTTCACAACCCCAACACCATTCGTTTTTTCTACTTAGTAGGTCGGTAATGGGTTTTAGTAACCGGCTTTTGTTAGGTATGTATTTGCCAATGAAGTTCACCATACCAAGTAACCTTTGAACTCCTAAAATATCTGTTGGAGGAGCCATTTTTCGTATAGCTTCGACTTTGGTCTCATCGACTTTGATTCCTGATTCAGATAAATGGTGACCTAAGTAGGTTAGCGAGGTTTGAGAGAACAAGCATTTGTCTTTGTTTAGGGTGAAGCCAGCACCTTCAAGTTTGGTAAGTACTTCTTCTAAGAAATAGTCATGTTCTTGTTGAGTTTTCCCCCAAACAATTATGTCGTCCATATGCGCAAGTGCATTCATTTGACCTTTAAGGGTTCGATTCACGCATTCTTGGAACACTTCTGGTGCAGATGTTATTCCAAAGGGTAGTTTCAGAAATTTAAAACGTCCAAACGGTGTCAGGAACGTTGTCAAATCTTGGGATTCTTCGTCCAATGTGATCTGCCAGAATCCGTTATTAGCATCCAATTTAGAATAGCATTTTGCTTCTGAGATTTGGGCAAGTGTTATGTCGATGGGTTGAATAGGATAGTATCTTCGTTTGACGCATCTGTTTAATTTAGTAAGATCTACACAAATGCGAACTTTGTTAGAGTCCTTCTTTGGCACAACAACCATTGGAGAGCACCAGTCTGTGGCATGGTGTACCTCAGCGATCACCCCCATTGACACCATTCTTTCAAGCTCTTCTTTAGTAGATTCCCAAAGAGGAAGAGGAATCCGACGAGGCGTGTTGATTGCAAATGGATTGGCGTTATTTTTCAGTTCTACTTTGTATTTGACATCAATGGAACCTAAGCCTTCAAACAGTTTGGGGTGTCTGTCATACCAGTCATTACTGGATGGCTGTATTTCGTTGATTCGAGCAAGTAACTGCAAACTTTTTATTGCAGGTTTACCTAGAAGTGGCTGGGAAGTGCCCTTAGAAACATATATAGTCTCATAACATGTTTTGTGATTATGTGATAATTTTACAGTAGCAGTTCCTAAAATTGACAGAGCTTTACCATTTGCGCCACTAAATGTTTTGGACGTGGGAGTGAGCCTGATTTTCTTATTCAGTTTAATGTCGGAAGGCAAAATCGTTACGTCTGCTCCTGTATCAATTTTGAAAAGAACATCATCACTGTCATTCATATTTAACACTACAGACCATGGATCATCACGCAAGTTTTTTCCTACAATGCCAATGAATGTTTGAGGGTCTATGTACTGAGAGCAAACATTTTCAATGGGTGTTTCAAGGTCAGTATCATCATATTCAATTTGACTGACTTTGTTTGATTTGCAAACATTTGGAAAATGACCAACTTTTTTACAAAACCCACATTTGTATTGTTTAGCTGGACAGTTGAATCTTTTGTGTAAAACTGTCGAACCACACCAAAAACATCTCTTTTCGACATGGGACAGGCTTTTATTGTCATTAATCCGCTTAAAATTTTGATCATTGTTTGATTTATCGGGAATAATGTTTGTCTTAATGAAATGTTGAGTATTTTTATTTATTAATGCTATGTCAGTCAAGTTAAGAGTTTGTTTCTGTCTTGATAGTTCTTCAGATCTACGGATAGTGTTTATAGCTGTGTTTAGTTTTAATTCGGGTTCAAGTTGAAGACGATCACTTAGTGTTTCGTCCCGCATACCAATAATCAAAACCATCAGAATCATCTCCTCTTCAATTTGACCCCAATCACAGT